GATCGAGTGTCCACCATACAAAGGAGTATGAGTCGGGCTGCTGAGGGGTGCCTTTGTAACGGCCCATAGTCTTTCTATGGACCGTTATATGATAACTTTGGTATTCTTGGCTGTTTGTATGACATAAATTTGTTTTTATTGCCATCTCTTTCTCCCATTTTTATTCTTTATTAAACTGAATTTGGATACGTATTCTAATGGTGTCGCATTCTTTTTTTGGTTTAGCTATCAGTGTATAGACTTTTTCAATTTATTTATTTATATAATTTTCAGAATAACTTCGTACTCACACACACCATATATATTGAAATATTTTGGTGTTTCTTGGCTTTCTGGGGAGATGTAATATAACCACCGCTAATAGTCTTTTAAGTGAGGTCGGATGTCCTCAGCCTGTCTAAAATTTTTTCAAATGGATTATTGCTTATAACCGGATTATAACGATTTTGTCATTTAACGATGATCGACTTTTTGAAGAAAGTTAAAATTCACAGTTTAAATATTGCCTTTAAGGCACTTCAAACCCCCGCAATGCGCAAATCGGTAATTTCTCTTCAGCCCTTCTCCTCAATAACCCTTGGTATCGAAGTGTGTGTATGTGTTTCCCTATTTTGTGCCGTTCACATTTTTCTTCTGTTCATATGTATTTCTTTACGCAAAAACTTTTTTTTTTAATTGTATTTGTTCTTTAAGAACTTTTCTCCCCTCTAGGAACAAACATCTTTTCTTTTAAATCCTCATGTCATATTGATTTCGGGCTGTTGGGCAAATCCCAACTCCCAACGCGTATTTGCAGGAACAGAGCGGAATTGCAGCTTAGCCAGGCTGCATGGTCCGATGGTGCGCGCATCTGAGGGACCCATTTCCCCACTCGGCGGAGTTTCGCGGTATGTTGCAACAAGAACGCACTTGATCAGATGCATTGCTAACTAAGCACACATTCACAAACATACATCGCCGTTATAAGTCCCTCGCATGGGGTTATTCATAATCGACACGTATTCTGTATTCATCCACCTGCTTGCTTTGTCAACTGGTATCACACGCAAAAAAAAAAGGAAAAGGGAAAGAATGATGACTTTGGAGTGATGTTTGTATAGTATCTGTGCATAGTATTTATATATTCCTACTTTTCTTTTTAATATGTCGGTCTATACTACGATTTACACCATGGGAAAGGAGGTTTTCATGACAAGAATATGGCCCCACTTCACTTCCGAAGAAAAATGCCAAAAATGCTCCCAAAGGGTCGCACTCAAGATTCTTCCTCTTCGTCCCCCCGTGTTTTGGGACGCGTGCGGTGGAAGGTCGCGCGTCGCCTCATCGTGTTCGCGAGCTCCGCCTTCACCCGCTCGCCCGCCGTTAAGGTGCCCCAGGTCTGTTCCGCCCCGCGCTGCTCCTCCACCCACGTGATCCGCTTTAAATACGCGTGGAAACGCTGATCGTCTTTACTCGTGCGCGCGTCTCCCTCCCCCACCTCAAAGAATGCTGTGTGGTGGGTTGGATTCGCCAGCAATGAAAGCATCCGCGAGCTCCACCCCAACGGCGGCGCCGCACCCATTCCTTCCCCAACGACGCCGTCAGGTGATTGCGGGGAAAGTATCCCGCTTGAGTGACGCGCCGTGCGTAGTTCTCGCAGCATTTGATTTTCCTCCTCGCGCGACCCTAAAAAAAGGGAGAGGTTTTGGAGGTAGGAATTCCCCCCTGCCACGCCTTTTCGAATGTCCTCACGATCGTTTTTATCCATAAGTGCAATCGCCCCATCCTGTGGGGTCGTCGCCTCGGCTTTTTTCTGCGGATGATAAAATTCCCGACTTTGCAGATCCGCCCTTTGCTTCGCCGCTTCCAGGGCCGCCTCGACGACGCCGAGGGTGGGGTGAAGAACTTCACGGGCGATCGGCGGGGCGATAGCCGCCTCCAACCGCGCGTT